AGGAATCTTAAATAAGTAAGAAATAAAGAAAAGGCATGAATATAAGCGAGATTAGAAAGACAGCTGAAACTGAACATTTATGACAGATTATTACTTTAAAAAAGAAATTCTTGAAGCACAATATTTAAGATTTTATTTAGAAATCTTTTTTTTTTGCTGGGATGTCTTTTGAGAATTACAAGTCAATTTATTTATCGATCAGTTATTTTATAAATTGAGTTGTCTTGGAAAAAAAAAACTTTAAAAATCCAGTTTGTAAGATTTATTTTAAGTTAAAAAATGTATCTTATTTTTGTAAATGAAAAGGCTTTTCTATAAATCCAGTTTAAGTCAAAATTTGGGAAACATTGGCTTCTAGAAATATATTCAAGTTTTCATTATAAATGGATCAGAAGGATATTTTTTCTGCTTACCAAAAAGGTAACCAAGCACCTCTTACTTTAAGTTACCAAGGTGGGAAAAAGTTTCTAAAGGGATCCATGATTAATTGTAAAGATAGTTTATTTGAGATTGATAGAGATTGATGTTTATTTTTCGAAGTGGAAAAAAGTGCTTTTTCCAACTTGTTCTCAGGTATTACAGGTAATGAAAACTTTAATGCAGGAACAATGTGTGGTATTCCATCAACCAAACCCAATACGATAAAAAAAACAACTTTGGTAAAGTTGGCCTTTCATTAAGACCAAACTGCGTCATCTACCCATCATGCATTGCACAGGTGAAAAATAATCTCCATGGGTGAAATATATAATAATAATAATAATTGAACTTTATTGATCTCACAGTAGAGAAATTTACCTCTGCATTTAATACATCCCCTTGGGGAGCAGTGGGCTGCCATGGTGTGGCGCCCGGGGAGCAAGGTGGGGTTAAGGGATATATTATTTGTGTAGCAATTATGACTTATGGTTTTTGAAGTTAACAAAAAAATACTAAATATTTCAGCTAGTCATACAGTAGTAGCCATTCAAAATTTCTGCACTTACCTTGGTGGATCCTTGGCTGGTCCCCTGCAATTCCTTTTTAAACATCAATCTTTGTACTAAAATATTCTGTCATGATTTGTGTACAATCAGATCTAAAGAGAAGCATCATCTCCTGGTCAGATCCTGTAATTTAGTGAAAGGGTGGAGTCAGAGTAAAAAAATATGCATGCCCAGGAGAAGGACCCTGCAGTAGTAAGTAGATATTTCAGGACCCCAGATGTTGTTGCCAAGATGGATCCTAGAGTACCAAGCTTGTGTTGGAGAAAGTGTGGCTCAGCGGTCCCCAATCATACACATATTTTCTGGTCATGTCCCAAACTTCAAAACTTTTGGGATGAGGTGTACAGGACTATGAACCAGATCTTCACGGAGGTTATACCGAGGGATGTTACTGTTGCGGTACTTGGTATTATACCGGAGAGTTTGCAAGGACGGGCCAAAACTTATCTGTTGAATGTTCTTTTAACAGCAGCCCTGAAATGCATTACAACCAGGTGGATGCAGTTGGAGCCTCCTTCCCATGACTTATGGGTACAAAAAGTAAGAGAGTTGTACAAAATGGAAAAGATAACCTACTCATTAAGACTTCAAAAAAACACCCTTAGCCTGCGCTGGGGGCCAGCAGAAGCTATGCTGATGTAAATAAACCCAACAAGTTTGTCTCTTGGCATATGGTGTATCCTTATGTTGGGGTCTCAGGATGATGAGCCTACAAATTTGAGGCTGAGATCAAAAGATATCAAGCTAAGATGTTCATTTTATGGGAAACTGTATATTTTCAACTTTTGTGTTATGTACCATTGATGTGTGGCTGTACAATTGCTCTGTAAAAAATAATAAAAGTATAAGTTCTAA